GATTGAACGGTAAGCAAACATTCATGAATCACAAACGAACCAACACGAATATCTCCTATCCTCAACAAATGATTTAGCTACTCATAGTAATTTGAACACAAGAATTCATAATAATCCAAACACAAAACATCATAACAAAGTGAGAAAAGGTGCTTACGATTAATTAAGAAATCCAAATGTCGAACACGATAAGCAATCCAAGTCCAAAAGCAAAATCTTGAGGTTCTTCACCTTACAAGATTTGATCCAAACCAAAAAGAAGAAAACAAAAAAAAAAAGAAAATGCTTTTCGTCCAGAGAGAAAATTTTAAATTACAAAAGTACCGAATGTTTTCAAGCCCCTAGGCCAAAACATAAAAATAGCCCGTCGTCAGATCTGCCTTTGAATTATCGGCGCCGCGACGCGAAGAGTGATCACGGCGTGGGGGAGGAGCGCTCCGCGGCACGAGGGGGAAGCACGGCGCAGCAGAGGGGTGCTTCGCAGCGCGGCAGGGTGGCGTTTCGCGGCGCGACAGGTGACACGACGCGACTTCTGGAAAGGTCGGACTTCTCTGTTGCTTTGTCGCAGTGCGGGGGTCTCGTGAAGGAATTCTATCGCGGCGCGAGGCTGGAAAATCTGGTGCTTGGGACTGATAATCTGCACTTAATGCGGTTACTCGAATAGCTCCAAATGTGTGATGAAGAATCTGATTTGCACACCACCTAAGACAAAAGAACAACACACGAAAACAAACAAGACAGCAGAAAATATAGAAAACGAGAAATAAACGACTAACACGTGAAAAGAACGACTGACGAACCAAAAAGACTAACAAATTCCTAAACTTGGGGGTAAAAACTAACAAATCAAGAAAGAAAATGATAACAAAAATAGGACAAACATCTAATAGCCCGCCACCGTGAAAGAATGTTGGTACATTATTTTTGGGTGGAGATTTTGACTCGAATAGGCATCAAGCCACTTGACTACCAATAAAAATGATAGTTTCATTAGTATAAACCAATACAAAGTGCCTTATGAAATTAAAAGAAATGTAGTATTTATGATATTACTATTGTAATCTAGCTTGAACACTGCCGATGTAAGCTTGAGCTTCTGAGATGTGCCTGTATCAAGTTGAGACATAAATTAAATAAGTCGGTCAATAAACTTGAGTTTACGTCAAACTCAAAATTTAACGAGTTGAAATAAGGTAAATGTTTAAGAAATTTAAATTCAGGTAGAAAAATGAATTTGGGGTGCAAGAACTAATCTTCGAAAAATTGATAACAATTAGGGACTGAATGGAAATTTATGAAACTTTCATTTAATGCAATTTGACCCTTGGGGTAATTCTGCGATTTTAAAAAAATGTTAAGAAACTACAGTCTGGTCCTTGAGACTTGTTTATAATTTTTGAAACTAGTCTTGGGCCTGTTTGTAATTTTGATAAATGGTTAAGGCCTGCTTGGCTGTTTGAAAAATTCAATATTTTTTTAATTTTTTAAATAGCTACTACATATTTGTTTATTTGTATTCATTTAGTGCTTCTTTAGTACCTATTATTGGGTCTTCAATACTAACTCAAACGAACATAAAAAAAGACTGAATTCTAATCATAAATGATGTTTATATTACTCAAAATAACTCACACATTAGTTTCTATGAGATATTGAATGTTTTTAGTTAAGTTTTTTCGTCAAGTGGTCATGAACTCAACGCACTAATTAACAAATACTACTGATACACTTCATCTCATTGAATGATCATATAAAGCAACTCTAAATTCCACCTATATGTTTTAAGTTCGTCGAGTTTTTAACCAAATCATATGTGAACGATCCATGTCACATGATAGACGTAAGAGATTAAAGAAATCACGATTAGTTAAAATGGTACTTGATTTTCTACAAATAGTACCCATAATGTCTGTATTCAGTACCTGATCTTAATCAGTTAGTACCTACTTTGGTCAATGAAAATGGATTAATTTAATTTTAGTCAACATTTGTGAAATTAGTACCAGTCCTAGAGTTGGGCAGTAATCATTAAATGGTGGTTTAATACTCAATATCGAGTCTTCAGTACCAACTCCAGCGAATATAAAAAACACCGAATTTCAGTCTTAAATGATGTTTATATTACTCAAAATCACTCACACATTCATTTCTGTGAGTTTTTGAATGTGTTTGATGAAGTTTTTCCACCAAGTGGTCATGAACTCAACACACTAATGAACAAATACTACTAATACACTTCATCTCATTGGATGATCATACATGACTACTCTAAATTCTACCTATATGTTTTAAATTCGACTATTTTCAACTAAATCATGCGTAAACGATCCACATGACATGATAGACATGACAAATTAAAGAAATTACAATTAGTAAAATGATACATATTTTATAACAAATAGTGCTAATGCTTCTTCTATGCAGTACGTGTTTTTTGTCAATTTAGTAGCTACTTTGGTCAACAAAAATGGATTATTCAATTTTGGTCAACATTTGTGAAACTAGTACCAGCCCTAGAGTTAGATAGTACTCATTAAATGGTGTTTTAGTACCAGATATCGGGTCTTTAGTATCAACACTAACGAACATAAAAGACACATAATTTCTATTTTAAATGATGTTTATATGACTCAAAATCACTCGTACATTAGTTTCTATGAGATTTAGAATGTGTTTATTAAGTTTCATCGCAAATCGGTCATTAACTCAACACACTATTGAATAAGCACTACTAATACACTTTATCTCATTGAATGATCGTACATGACTCCTTTAAATTCCACCTATATGTGATAGATTCTTTAAGGATCATTCACACTTGTGATCCCATAACGTGCATACGGAATGCCGATCGCAGTTGTTCCCAATTTTGAATGGACGTTTGGCAATGAGTGATACCAGCTTTGTGCTTTGGGCACCAATGTGAGGGAGAAAGTCCTGCATCAGAGAGCATCATCGACACTGTGAGGATCCATTCAGGACGTATATTGTCCCAAATGGCTTCGAGATCTGTATCGCCATGATATAGACCTATTTGGGGGGATCTAGATCTTACTTGGTAGGCTCTCGGTCAATATATGGGAAGAAAGTGGTAACGTAGGACCGAAGGAAGCGTCTTCAGGAGAAAATAAAGGGGGTTAGAGCTAAACCTTATTGGTCGTTTGCCGAGCTTCAAGTTTGGGGATCCATTTTTTGAGCGGGACAATCTCCTCGGCTTCTTTCCGAAGGATCCTCTTAGTAATTTGTTGATGGAGGTCTTCAGGTTAACTGCCCAAATGGTTAAATACTGATCGGACATTGAAATTCATATGAGCCTGTACTTTCGCAATCTTTGGAATGGTTAAGGTGATCAGGGTGTTGTGTTTCTATTCCCTTATCAAGGGCCCCCATATTTTCTGGGAATTGGACCTAATGAGATTGGGAATTCTGTATTTGGCCAGGATTTTAACGAGTGGTATGTGGATTAGATTTTTCAGGAGGCTTATTGTGTAGAATATGAGAGTAAAGGTCGGTGAGGCTTTTGACGTAGGCGGGATTGCAAAATATATCGATAACGTCTGGATGGGGAGGAGATTTGTCATCAGGTTAGTTTGAAGCGGGACTGAAAGAGATACATAGCTAGATCTGATCCACAAGATAAAGTCACCGAAATATTTGATCAAGTCCTCCTTATAACGCCAATTTGTTAACGGGCTATCGCAGATGATTCTTAATTGCGAAATCAAGGGAGAAGGAGTTATGATTAAATAAGGGAATGATATGATTTTGTTGGGGATAGACAAAGGTTGTATGAGATAGAGAATTAGAAAAAAAAAAAAAAAAAACACACGATTTTGCTGATCTATTGAGAGATTGACGAGAAAAAGGTGAAGAGTAATTTTAGCTACTTGTCAGCTTGGGTGACGAAACATGACCTTTTGGGTGGTGATTTTACCATCTTCACCACCTTTTACGAATTTAAACTCTCAGAAGGCGTTAACATGCTGCAGAGTGATCGGCAATCAGGGGATCGACAAAGGCGTCGATCATTTGACAAATCATCTTCTTACTTTTGGGCCGACCATGAAGAAACCCATGGATTGCTTGGGCTTTATACAACAGATAAACCTACCATATTCTCTAATTATTTAAATAAAACTAATATAATTTTGTTAAAAATATAATAAGTTTTTTTATTGTATATAGAAAGTTGGTTCCACTATGAAGCCAACTGTTGGCTTCATAGCAAAACCGATCAAACTATTATATACCATAGAAACAAAAAAGCATTTAAAATTAATAGTAATATTCAAAATTATTGTTATACTAATCAATATTATTTTATGGATTTAATTTATATTAATTATTATTATTGTTTCATGCATCATACAAGCTACTAGTTTTTAAGTCAACATAAGATAAAATTTCATCATTTATTTCATAAAAAATTCTGTTGCTCATAGGAATAATTGCTAGTAAGGAGAGTTAATTCATCCATCTTTCGAGTAATTAATTAGGCCAAAATTGTGCAAAAGATTAAAATGGAAATTTAATTTTTTTTATTCAACAAACATGTATATCATATAAAACAAAAATAAACAAAACTTTAGATAAAAAAATAGTATTCATCTAATAAAAAATCTCAAAATATTCTGTATAATACTATAATCCCAGTATTTAAAATTATAAGATATTATTATATATTTCTAATAAAAAGATTATTTCTAATAAAAATATTATTCATCTAATTCACATAAATATAATTACTGATCTAATTAGTTAATATTTCATTATTTTTATATTATATACAGTTCAATTAATATATTTTCATCTCTTCTCAGATCAAATTATTTTCTCCGCGTTCTGAAATTGGCAGAGATTGGATGTTAAAACTGTGTCAAATATATGGAATGCTGTTATATTGATTCAAAAGAATGAAACTAATTTTACTTGTATAAAGCAGTATTAACAAATTGTTAATCATCATGATCAGCAAAAGCACAAGCCTAATAATTTCCTACTCAATTCACTTCTAATCCATAGAGCACCCCAGCATACTTCTCGTGCTCCTGCATCACAAAATACAGATCCCTCATCTTCTGAAACGCGTGCCACGTCAGCAGGCTGTCCGACCCGGCTTGGTGGCACTTGCCGACCGCCCGGCCCACATCCAGGGCCTGGGCCACCCGGTCCAGCCCACCGTACAGGCTGTCGCAGTACCGCATCAGGTGTTTCACGTCGTAGACCTTCTCACCGAAGAAGGCCTTGAGCACCTCCAGGAACCCGCCGAGCCCGTCCGGCAGCTGTCGGCGCGTGAGGATCTTCACCAGGTACCCGAAGTCGTACGCGCTGTGGAAGGTCACCCAGCTCACGGCGTCGTTGCACACCAGGCCGGATCCCATCATCAGCTCCGCGAACCGGGCAGAGTCCACCCCGGAGGACCGGTTCCGCTCGAGGTCCACACCCTGCGACCGGAGCAGCTCGATCGAGTCGGGCGCGTGGGGGTCGAGGGCGGCGTCGAAGTCCGAGAAGTTGAACTGCCAGATGCAGCGGCCGCCATCGGGGCCGAGATCCGGCAGGTTACCTTCCGCGTCGGAGAGGGTGAGGCCGAGCTGGATGAGCTTCAGCACGTCCACGTTCGACTTGAGGATCCGGTAGTGGTCCAACGGAGACGGCTTACCGCTGCGGCGGCCGGCCAGATCCTGGTGCTTGAAGATCACGCCGGGGAACTCGGTGTCCATGGATATGAACGGGAACCGATCTACCAGATCTGACAGCAGATCGATCTCAGATTCGAGATTATCGGACCATACCTCTCGGATCTTAATCGGCCTAGGATCGGCGGCGGTCATGATCGATTTGGTTTCTTCAGATTTGGTTAGGGTGATTTTAGGGAGAGAGATTTTGAGGAGAAAGTGGAGGATGAGAGGGTTTTTTTATAAGGGTACAGAGATAAGGCGGCGCGGTGTTGCTTGGAAAGAGGAGCTGTAAAAAGGAAATTAATAGTATTATATAAATTGAATCCAAGTAGGGGAAAATACAGTGTCCCAATCGTTAAACAGTACAGTTTTTCCGGACACGGGTTTTATTTATTTATTATTTAATTTAATAGTAGTTTTTAAAGATGAGGTGAAAACCACGTTTTGTGGTCCATGTTCAACGCGTTGTAATTCGTTTGACTGAGAAATACTAGTTTGACTAAGTTAATGTGAGCCCAATAATGTACTTTTTATTTTAATTGGAGAATAGCGGTTTGCATTGCACGTTCCCACTAGACGTGGCCAATTGTCCTGGCCCGGCCCGGCGACTCAAGGCCCTCAACCTCATGGCTCGTGACCGGTCTTGAACCATCAGTTTACCTGTTGGGCTCAGATGCGCAAATGCGAAAGATGTAAATTAAAACACCGAGGTAAAATGGTGAACAATAAATCCAATCCAGAAACTCAAGAATGACAAAAAGAAAAATAATCTCTTGCAATAAAACAAGAATAATTCTTTTCTGATGTGGAAGATCAGATTAAACTGCGACCACAGAGCATACTAAGAATATCCCAAATAAATAAAATATGCAAGAAATAAGACACCAAGATTTA